CTGAGCTCCAGCCCTCCCTCCTCTGCCAACGTTCTGCTGATCTCCCTGGTTCTCGTGGTGCCGCCTCGTTGGTGACCCCTCCCCTCTACAGCGCGGCCCCAGCTTTGGGGGGAGGAGGGCAATAAGCCTTCTGAGAGGAGCCAGGGGAGAGGAAACCTCTCCCGCTTCAAGTCGGGTGAAAAGTAATACCGAAAAAGTTGTAAATGGCACAGCGTTTTTTCTTCCCCTGTGCTTAAAAAAAAATGTAGTATAGCGCAGGAAGCTTTTGGTTTTTAAACCAGCTGTTCTGTGAAAATCAGTAAAAGTGAGATATCAAAGGGAGAGCAAGGAGAACATGCCCTGATGTAAGGTTGCATGTCTGAACTGTTGAGGGTTCACACAAGAAGCACTTTTACTGCTGCTGGCTCTATGCAAACAGCTGTATTTACTCACACTGGCCACATTCCCGTAAATCACTCTGTGGCTGGAGTCATTATTCTCCAGCAAAGATTGTGTTTCAGGGCGGAGCTGGTGATGAGAGTTCAAAAGCGTGACAAATAAGCTTCTATTTTGGCAAGGATTTATCCAGCTGAAACTTGAAAAGGGCTCGGCCATGATGCACATACTGTGATCTGCTCCTTTTTTTTTTTTTCTGCCAGATGTTTAAAAGGATATTACTGGCTTGAAGGAGTTGTGATTTGTGCTCCTTGTCTGTGTAATTAGACAGGAAAGTCTGGCTGTTGATTTTTTATGGTCTTAAATAAAGCAATGGAAGCAGCTTAAAAATTCATATTGATCAAGATTGGCAACAGTGATTCAAAAGAAAATGTGGAGGGTGAAAGACAGTATTGGTATTCAACAGTACTGGTTACAACTGGGAAAACTTCTGCATGTGACTAAAGGACTTCTGCTTCTTTGGAAAGACACAAGGTTTAAGGTTTTAAGCTGTGGCAGTAGCTCCGTGATACATCCCAGTTTGACTTACTTTTTTCTAAGCAGATACTGAAGACATTTCTAATCTGTTATTAGATTTATTTATTTTTTTAATAGCATGGCACATCAAAGACTCATTTGTTTCTTTTGGATTTGTGATCAAGGTGTTCAAAAGTGGCCTTCTCCCTTGTAAGTCAGTTTGTTTAGCTATTGAGAAAGCAAACAAACCAGACAGCACAGTTCTACCAAGAGAGGAGTGTAGCTCTAGAACATGGAAGGGAAAGGTTCGTTCCAGTCAGGGATCTGCAGCTGGATTACTGGTGAAGTAGATGTATAGCTGAAGTCATTGGAGATAACAAAGTCAAGATGTCGTATTTGTTAAAGAAAAATTCCAGCAAAGAAGCCTTAAATCCAGACCCTGCCAAAGCAAATGGATTGTCATCACTTCACTTTTACTTTGATCTATAACTGGATGTTTCTATTTTGAGTCCCATGTGTCCTTATAGACGTGTAGGTCTGACATGTCTGTGGGATGAGATTTATACTTGCTGTACTTAAGCCTGTTGGAGTTGTCTGGCCCACTGTGGTAATGCAGTAGGGATGTTCTACACCAGATTACAGCTTCTCATCAGCTGCTAGTGAATTAACTCTGTGTCTCTAATTGAGCTGCCCTGTGGGGTAAAAGTTGCTTTGGACTGTGGCTTCTTAATTTTGGTTGGATGAAGTAACAAGCTGTTACAGTGAAGACCAAACTATTTATGTGGGATGTTAAGCACAAGACCAAAGTGTGGAGAACCACATTTTAATTTGCTCTTCTGAGATTTGCCAGGAGTTGACTGGATTCACTGGGTTGCTGTGACATAGTGGGTGACTTTACCTGAAAGTTGAAAAAGAGGGTTTTCAGTTGTTTATGCTCACTTTTGGATGTCTGCTTTGGGTGCTGTATATCAAAATAATATGATGTGCTTTTTCTTAAATAATGTGGTAAGTTCTGACTTTGTGCTTCTACCTGGTTAGTAAGGCAGTCTTCTCCCTACTCTTCCTCCTCCCCCCCGACAGAGTATCAGTACAAAGATGTCCTGAAGATGACGTCTTCTAACACCCAATCTGTAGACTCGTTCTTTCTTACACTAGGCCTGATTTTGGCTTATTTTGTTTATGTAAAAAGCTAAGTCTATTTATTTCATTTATGCCCATTTAAGAAAGTATTGTTTTTAAAAAGAGAGTATTATTCACTTTTGTAGCATTTGTACTGAAGGCTTTGTTTTGCATGGCAACCCTTTAATGCATTGAGGGGAAAGGATAGAAAAAATGCACTAGTTCAGCAGTAATTATCCAGCATCCTGTAAAGCAGTGTTCAAGAATGATACTTTAGAACTGCAGTTGCCCTAGGTAGGTGTATTGTAAGTAACATCTTCAAGAGATAAAGGCAGAGAACTCGCAGCTGTATGTGATAACATTCTCCAGGGTCAAACTGTTGATGGTGATATTTTGTGACAGTCTCTTTGGCAGCAAGCTACTATGCATGGAAATACTGGGTTTACTTGGATGTTTTCAATGTGCTTTTTCTTACAGCGCAGTGCAAGAATCTTTCCAGTTTAGATGTTCAGCACTGCAGATGTGATGAAGATGTAGCTCTCAATATGTGTGCAGCATAAAATAACTTTATCGCAGGACATCAGTCATTGCAAACTAATAAATTGTGCTTTTGTTTTACTTGTCAGTTACAAAGGTCCATTGTTAGATGAAGGAGCGTTGGCTCAGGCAGTCTCTCATGGAGCCAGTTCCCCAGAATTCACCAAACTCTGTGCTTGGTTGGTATCTGAGTTACGGCTGTTCTGTAAACTAGAAGAAAATGTGCAGGCAACTAACAGTAAGTAGCCATAACTCTAGCACAAACGTGCACTTAACGTGTTCTTGCATGCCATAAAGATTTGGGCTTGCAACTGATAAATCTGTTGTACTCGGGAGAACTGTCTGCACGCTGTCAGGTTACAGATATTTTCCACCTCAAACTTGCCTAATGAACAGTCAGTAGAGGTAATAAGTGAGGATCTGACAGTCTTTCTTCTGAAATAAGCTTTTCCTTTTAATTGTTCAACCACAGAGTTGGAAAAAAAAAAGTTACTGGATGGATTTAAGGAAACATGATCTAACTACAAAAACCCATTTATGAGAACACTTTTATTTCAACACTTGTTTGCAGTTTTGATGTAAAGAAAGACCTACTGTTCAAGGAAGAATTCTCATTATTACGATAACCATATTTCCTTTTTATTGTTGGTTATCTGAACTCTGTGCTTACTGTGTATTTTTCCCTCTCTATGAAACCTTGTGAGGAGTTTGAAAATGTTTGTTTATTATTTTGGTGAAGGAAGCAATCCTTAGTTTCCCAAAACTATTATTTTCTGTCAACTAGTCATAACATTCCATAGATTAAATTGTTAAATTGGTATGACTACCTGTAGTTCAGAATATCTAGTGTATTAACTCATAAGGCCTTTATGAGCTTAGCTTTCAATCTACTCAGTGGCCGAAGATTGCTGCCTTTCACCTCAAAATCTGTTCTTTTCCTTTTTATCTCTTTTTTTTTTTTCTTTTTTTTTTTTCCTTTTTTTTTTTTGATGTGTCCATCCTTTCTTCTTCGAGTGAATTTGACTCCCTTTCTCTTCAACAACACACAACACAGCATCTCACATCTGGTAGTGTAAGGTTCCTACTGTATGTTTTGTGTAAAAATACATTCTAACACCTCTTAAATTCTCTAAATATAGGGATAGAAGGATTTCAACTGTAGTACCATCAACTTCTGCCTTCATTTGGTGTGACTTGAGTTTATAAATAACAGACATTTGGGCTTGCAGTCCTTTTTCAAAAGAAGACAAACTGTTACCTCTCATTTATCACTATTTTTTTCATAACTTAATAAATTCAGACTAGTTTCACTAGTTTCTGACACTGATACCAGTGTCAGCTTTGGCCTACATGACCTCATTGTTCTTGATGATTATTGGTACAAAATAAGATTAATTGAGAAATAGGAGCTTACAAGGTGAAGTAAAACCATGAGAGCTCATCAACCTTATTATTAATGACTTTATCGAAATTATCTAATTAGGGGTTGGATTCTGTGATCTTCAGAGGTCCCTTCCAACCCCTGTGATTCTATGATCTAATATATTTGCAGTGGGAACAGTTAGTTGATACTTAAAATACACTTGTAAAATTTGCAATGCTTTTCATGTCAGTTTTCAGTGGAAAAATTGCCATTGACTGTTAAAGCTGGGAAAACTTGCCAGTGAAGTGTAGTTTGACAGTAAAGAAGAATATCAAGGCCCCAAGCAGGTTGTGCTGTTGTCTTCGAGAAAGCTGAAGAACATGTTTGACTTCCGTTAGAAGCAGCATTTTAATCTTACATTAGCATTGTTTATTTATTATTTTGAAAAGAGCTAACTAATTCTAATCATAGCTAGAGATGCATATGTTAGCTGTAAACAGTTAATTCTTTTCCTTCTAAGGTCCAAATGAAGCAGAAGAATTTCAACTTGAAATGAGTGGGTTGCTGGCTGAAATGAACTGTCCGTATACGTCGTTAACATCGGGAGATGTGACAAAACGCCTTCATAATCAAAAGAACTGTCTCTTGCTGCTTAGTAAGTTAAAAGGGTGCTTGCAAGCACATCAAGTTTTGTGCAAGAATCAATGTTATTGCTTACATTTAATGAGATACTGTTTTGTTTACCACAGTGTATAAAAAGTTACCCAAAATTATGAATTATTTTCCCTTGTAATTTACAGTGTGAGAATGTGGTAGTTTGGGATCTCATAAACTTACCAGTCGCTCTGTGGCCAGTGTATGATGAGAAATATTCTGAGTATTAACCTTTTTCACATTCACTGGAAAAAGCCTGTCCTATTACTTCTCAAAAATAATTTGAAGACTTCTGTCAGGATTTAGCCACTCATCTTTGTCTAGAAGTGTTGTAAAAGTGATGACTAACATCAGGTACTTTATCATTTTGGAGTCCCCACCTTGCTGACTTGCAAGGTGCAATAAGACTTGCATTTTCATACCCTCTGACAACAACTGGAATTGTTGTGAAGAAGATAAAATCTTTTAGCCCAACTCTTAGTTCTTCTGATCATCTCCCTTAGTAAATAACTTCAGTGTTGCTTTATGCTCATTGAAAAGAAACTAGCAGTAGCAACAGTGATGCCTTCTCTTTCCTTTTCCACCCAGAAGGTTTCAATACCTAAACTGTCTTTATTTTTGCTCAGGAAACGTTAGAGGATTAAAAAATAGTACTTAAATTTGGAACAAGTGTGTGATGTTGATTTGCATTTAAAAAAATATAATTTTCACAAGTGTCAGTTAGACATTATAGTAGTAATTTTAATCTGATCTTAATTTCAACAGATGTGTGTGTTTCATTTGCTTTCTTAGTTGCTGCTGATTCTTTAACTTCTCCAAACAGAAATTTAGTTTTGCCCTTAGCTGAGAGGCAAGAAATTAATTGCAGAGCAGGCTCCTGTGTTACAGAGTCAGTCTGTGATGTACGTTTTGGTAATATAAGGCCATGTTCAGAAGCTGAACTCTGGTATCCCATCTGGCAGGAGTACTATGTTTACTGTCAAATTTAAGTGGATGCCAGACTCCTTTTTTGTGTACCAGGATAGTTGCAACAGCTTTCTTTACCTACATTAAGCTAACTTATTAGGTGTCCTGTTATATGTGAGCCATAAAAACATGTTTTTCAGGAAAAACAGAATAACCCTCTTTAATGGAATGCCAGGGTATTTTCCATTTTGATAAAATGCAGCACAGTTTGTCAATTGCATTGCTGGGAGAGGAAAGCACCAAATAAACTTTAATTAGGATTATCTTGGTCTGCAGCAGCACTAGAATAGAATATTAAGTACTGGCATCTGCAAAAATAGAAAGTACAAGAGTTTCAGGTTGGTTCAGAAAAGGTCTGCAAAAAAGAATTGTTATCTGGAGAGTGTGTGTGTCTTAACAGTGATAGACTTTGAAATTTCAGTCTTTGTCTGACTTTGTCAGAGGAGGTTGAAGGTAGTTTGAAAAAAAATTACAATAATTTTATAATGTATAAAGTGTACTGTGTCTTCAGCAGAAGGCATTTTGGAGATGTAGAAGAAATTCTAGAGTTCATTAAAATGCTTTGTTTTTTAAATCTTTTCATGTCTTGATTTCTATAGGTTGTAAACTGCCTTGCTATAGCCATGGATTTACACCCCTGCTTACAAGTCTTTTTTTTAATCAGTGCATTATGTTTTTTCAATCTTTATAAGTAATAATTTATGGTACTGTTATAGTCACTTGATATGATTAGTGGTAAAATTATTGTTAAACCTTTGAATTTTTTCAGTTCAAACTTGAAACTCTGCCAATTACAAGCAAAGGCCATGTGTGCTAAATTTATATCACTGTAGCCTACACCCAATGCTGAAATTTTGGGTGTAGACCATGTTCAGAAATGATGTGATTTTAATATTTTTTTTGTTTGTTTGCTAAAGGACTTAACAATGGTAGGCTTTTCCACTTCTCATATTGAAGAGCACTGCAGGCATTCTAGCTTCAGTTTCATCATTTAGTGCCTTCCTTTCTGGAATGATTATAAACCTGAAGTCTTAAAAGTACTTTAAAAAGTGCGCTTGTTTTTCCACTCACAAAGTAGAGGAGATTCATCCAAGATTTCACTTCTCTCTACTCATTTCCTTGCTTTATGGCCTAGAGCTTCAAGGAGTGCTTGCTTGTCTAGCTTAAAGTGCATGTCCCAGTCCCTCATCCTGCTTACTTCCATGTTCCTAGTCTCCTGTCTTTGCTGGGCAAAGCCTGAAGGAAAAGAGCTATGCTCTCTTGAACTCTGTGATTTAATACCTGCCAGAATCATAGGGATTTTTTCCAGGCTTTAATTAGTTGTACTAAACCTTTCCCCTGTTTGTTGTGTTTCTACTGTTGGGGCAACTGATTATTAGACTCACGAGCGTTCTGTGGATGCCAAAATTATAGCCCCCATTCTTTCTAAAAGAGTCCATTTGCACATTTGTTTATTGTAAGCACTTGAGTTCTCAGTGGTTCTAAAATAATTTAACTCGGCTATATCTGATGCTGAAATCTAATTTTTCTTACCCCAGCATACCTCATCTCAGAACTGGAAGCTGCCAGAATGCTGTGTGTGAACGCCCCTCCTAAAAAAGCACAGGAAGGAGGTGGCAGTGAAGTCTTTCAGGAACTAAAAGGCATATGTATTGCTTTAGGCATGTCCAAGCCTCCAGCCAACATAACGATGTTCCAGTTCTTCAGTGGAATTGAAAAAAAAGTAAGATCCAAAGGAACAAAACTAGAATATTGATGATGTTGCTGTTTTGATGGAAAATCGTTTTGCTGCCAGGGAGAGATTTGCCTCTTGTGAAACTCCAGTGTTTGAGTTATGAAGGAGAGTTAACATGGTCAACTGGGTATGCCAAGAGTCAGGATTTTGAAAATGAATGTCGAGGCTTTTTCCACGCCAAGGCATGAGGTCAGGGACTACTGCTGTCATTGTCTTCTGGGGTGAGGTATTTCTTACTCTGCTCTAGGTTTTAGTGTTGTCACCTGTTGCAGAAGACATGGAATATGCTGAGCGTAGGCCTCAGAAAGAATGTTGGAGAGACATCTATTCCAGTAAACACACCTAAATAATTTTTTCAGAAACCTACTGTTATAAAAATATTTAGGTTTAAAGGTATTTTAACTAAAGTTAAGTTTACACCTTTTCCCTAAGGCTTCATCAATTCTTGTGATTTCACTTATTTTTGTTCCTTTACACATATATATGTTCTTCAGGCTGTTGTAGTTTGGTTTTTGTTTTGTTTTGTTTTTAAATAAGAAATTTACTTAATCTTTGAGTAGTTTTTATAAAGCAGAGAAATGAAGTGGAATGGACCACACACTGCATATGCCAAAGGTAGGGGGACAAAGTTTTTAAGTTACATGAAGTAACTTAACTTGCAGCATGGGGAGAGCAGAACAGCAGAAGAGAGCCTTTAGGAACTTGAAAAAATACAGAAGACTACAAAACTTCCCCAAATGCATTCAGAGAAGTTTTTTTTTTACTAACCTTTTAGTTGCATTGTACTTAAACAAGTACAAGCAACTGAAAATAGTGCTTCATTTCTTTGCAAGAAATCAATTTGGATTGACCTGTTTAAGAAGAGGAGGATAGTTTTCTGGTGGAAATTCAAGGTGTAGATGGAAGCAGCTGATTTTCTTGGTTTTGGTGTTGTCATGGACATTAAATAGTTAGATACATAAGAAAACTGTCCTTCCATTTTCTATAAAAGGTAGAAAATATTCATAACAATGAACAACGCTAGCAAGTTTTGCTGCTGAAAGAGACTCTAAAAATACAGAATACAAAGTAGATAAAAATCTTTTTAATCTAGAAATTTTGTTGTGTTTTACTAATTGAATTTTTTACATTCCAAGGTTAAATAAATGTTATCTCAATTATTTATATTCATAGTTGGTTATACTGAAAAAAACATTAACTGTCCCGATAGCTTAATAAAATGCTGCAGGCTTTTCTAACCTGCAGATTTTTTTAGAAATCATATATAGCTATGGTGCTTACAGCCTGAACACTTCAGATGTTTGTAGTATTTGAGGAGCAGAAAGGAAAGCTGACTAATAACTGAAAAGTCCATTTCACTTTGTAAATGAAAACGCATCACAAAGTTGAACAAAATGGGAAAACTTAAATAACATGGAGTTAAAATTTTATTCCTGACTGTAAAAAGATAGTTCAAGTTTTTTTGTTTTTAAAATAGTGAGTCTTGAAATAACAATATTCTGATCTAGCATGTGAAAATCAAGTTACCTTTTTCCTTTACCTACACATAAGTAGTTCAGTTTGGAGTAGGATCTTTGTATAACTGACTCTTTTTGTTAATGGTACAAACCACATCAAATAAAGGAAGTGCTGGTACTTGAATGAACTGCTACCTCTGCTATTCTGAACGTGCTTGGTTTTAAAAACTTGAAGTTAAAACATACTGGGCTCAACACCTTTGGAAAACCAGGTCACTGGATGCATTACATCAGCTGCTGGAATGAGCAGCCAAGGAAGTAGAAAAATACAGTTTGCAACAGTGGAAAAGTGAAATTTCATAACTCCAAACTGCTTTGATCTCCGCTTTTTGTCACTGCTGCTCTGTTTCTTTCCCTTGAAGTCTTAAGAGATTTTGAGATGGGAAAGATAATGTAAATTATGCCCAAACTTTAAAAATGCAAGGTAGATTTAAATTTTCATATTGAAGATTTTCTCCTTTTGACTGTAAAGAAAGGGCCCTTCTTTAGGTTGTGTTACATTTCACAGTCTTAATGCAACCTTTTTGATACAAGACTGTTTCGTTATTTTTTAATTAAATAGATGATGTGTAGAATAATTCCTCTGTCTTCAAGGGGACCTGTACCTCATGGAATCTTTCTGTGTTAACTGTAGTTCTACTCTATAGTCATTTCTCTTAATTTTTAAGTCTTTATAGCTGAGACTACCAGAAATATAGAACTAGTTGCTTTCTAAAAGTGTGCTTGGTTCTCTGTCCCAGAGAAGACAACTCAATATCGGATATTGCTCTGTCAATGCCTATGACTGTCCAAGAGTCCTTGCCTATAATGTGAATCTTGAAAAGCTAGTTTTTTTATCCAATGCTTATATTTTTGTCTCCTAACAGCTGAAAGAAACCCTAGCAAAGGTTCCACCTAATCACGTTGGAAAGCCTTTATTGAAGAAACAACTGGGACCAGCTCACTGGGTAAGTAGTTGCACGTTTTAGAGATGATTTCCCTTTTTCAGGTATATAAAGTGTTGATCTTGCGTCTATGGGTAATGCTGCAAAATTATTTTTCTTACGTCTTTCTTAAAATGAGAGGACAATATCTTGCAGTATTTTATGTATTTATCGCTACAACTAAAGTTCAGGAACTCAAGAGATCTTAGTCAAGAATCTGTATGTGTAGACACAGCGAAAATTTTCCACAATGAAGGACTTGTACAGTGGTGTTGTTGGCCTGTGTGCTTGTGCAGTAGCTTAAGCCTTCCTCTCCTGCCCCTTGCCAGCGCTGTGTGACCTAGGCTCAATGAGATGGTGTCACATCCCTTTCTGTAGCTTCTTTCCAGCTAACCTGAGGGTCTTCCCATAGTTTCTTCCCCTCCTTCTGTCCTGTTGAAGTAGTCTGCTTCCTTCATAGCCCCTTCTCCAAGAAGCAGCGAGTGTGTAGATGGAAGCTGGGAGAGGTTGTGCAGCCAGGCGGCAGAGCCACAATCATCTCCATCTGGGTTTTGTCACCTGCAGTTCTAAAAGGATGGTGCCTGGGTTAGATACTCCTGCTGCACCACACAAAGCTGTGGCTACTGCTGCAAGACTTCAGGTCTCTCTTGCTGAAGTTTGAAGCCCATCTGTTCCCAACAGTCTGCCCCACCGCCCCCTTCCAGCCAAGCTTTAATCAATACATAAATTTTCCTTAATGGTGCACATCTCAACTATTGTTCTGACTGGGCCACTGTATGCTACCAGGTGTGTTTCTAGTAATGGCTTTTCCCTGTAGGGCACTTTGTTGTCTTGTCTGCATGCAGATTATGCTTTAATCAAGATCTTCTTATAGTACTCTACTTCCTTTTAGTCCTCTGTCTTTGTTTTATCTTTGTCCTTAAGCTTTACAACTTCGCAAGAAGGCAAGGGCACCCTCGTCCCTGCGTTATGTCCTCACATTTCCCTCAGCTTATTGCATGTAGTGTTTTCTCACTTTTGCTTCTCTGTCCTGGTGGGTGTTGAGAAATGCCTTGGCAGTGTGTGCAGGTTTTACGTCCCTTCTGAAAAACAGCTGTGCTGTTAGAAATGGTAGGAAGCTGAATGTGAGGATAACTGAACCTTTGAAGCCTTCGGGAAAATAGTGTCAGCAGGCAGAGCTTTCTGTGAGCCTGTTTGACAAGGCAAATAATTGCAGGCTTAAGCCCTGCTTAGTATTGCTCTCTTCCATCCACATAGTTTATTATCTTAAGTAGAAACATTTTATCTATAATCAATAGATTGTGTTTGCAAATTTCTGTTTCAGGAAAAAATTGAAGCAATTAATCAAGCCATAGTCAATGAATACGAAGTCCGAAGAAAACTGTTAGTCAAACGTTTGGATGTTACTGTGCAGTCCTTTGGCTGGTCAGATAGAGCTAAGGTACAAACAATTTGCTGTGAAGTCCTGGTTGATGGTAATGCTTTATTATAAGTATCTCTTCATTGTTTCATCCTTCATGAGTAAGAAATAACCACAGGAGTTGTTTTGGTTTGAGCTTCTGAAGAAGCTTCTGACAAAGTAAGATGACTAAAAAAATTATACTTAAAACTGATTTGTTGGATTTTAAAGCAGTATATAGAATGAGAAAATAGACTGTGTGTAACTACACCAAAGCCAAAGCACACAGTTACACAGGCTTCTGGAAAACAGCAGTAAGAGGAGATTACTGATCCAGCGCTTTGCATTTTTTAGTTAATATTTGCATATTTGAGTTAAAAGACTGAATTCAAACAGCACTTGAGAGCTTGAGTTCTGCAAGTACCTCCTGATGACTTGCCTTTGACTGGAATTACAAGTGTGAAAAAGTTAACACTGCCTTTTTCTGCAGAGACGGTGTTGGTGATACAAGTGTGGGTCAGGGTGCAGATGCAGAAGGAGGTCTGGGGGCTGGACAAAGTCGTTATTCACTTTCAGTATCTTTTAGACATTACCAGTAATTCATGTAACCATATGACATGCAGGCCAGGTTGGATGGGGCAGTAAGCAACCTGATCTAGTGGGGAGCTGTCCCTGCCCATGCAGGGGGGTTGAATCTAGATGATCTTTAAGGTCCCTTCCAACCCTGACCTTTCTACGATTCTGTTCTGTGTTTGACTGCCCAAAAGTAATAGGGTCTGTGTTGTGTGTTAATCTTAAAATTGTTGAAGGATGTCTGGTCAGTTTAGTCAGAGTAGTGTTTCCTATATTACTTAAGAAATTAATTTGAGAAATGCTAGGTTTGTTGCAGTGATTCTTAGTTACAAAGTGGTTATCACTGTTCTTATATTAACTTTTGTTCTATTTGCATTTGTGTCTTGATTCTTCAGTGTTGGTTTGATTCTTTTGATGAGGTGTCCTATTGCTTTCCTATTACTTAGCTCACTAGGTTTTGGTTTTCTTCAATCCAACAGAGTCAAACAGAAAAACTGGCTAAAGTTTACCAGCCAAAACGTGCCCTCCTATCTACTAAGTGCACTGTTTCCGTGGCAAATCTCTTGGCAGCACGGCAGGACCTGTCAAAGATTATGAGAACAAGCAGTGGGTCCATCCGAGAGAAGACTGCATGTGCCATCAATAAGGTACCTTTGGTGACAAACGGCTGGTTCTGCTATGAATTATTTAAATACTTTGAATGTAGTAATTGTAGGATTGCAAGTGTAATTTGGAAATGAAGTATGAGAAACTTTGATGTACTCCGGATTATGTATCAGTGCATTATGTGTAGGTTCAGAGTGCCCCTTCTTAGGGGTGGTAAAAAAATGCTGAAATATTTTTGATTGCTTTCAGTGGGAGTAGGCCTTCTCTGTCTTACCAGAATAACTGATGTCATTATGCAGCTGCTGCTGAATTCTGTCACAATATCTAAAATAACATAGATAGGAACTGTTTCTGGTGTATGTAAAATAGAATATATTAAGATCACAAAGGAAGGATCTCGCAGGATAGATTCCAATGTGTACACAAACAACAGAGATTTTAGTCAAGTGTGTGATTTTACTCGTGACATAGTAGGAATATGATTTAGACTAAGCAATGTATCTTGTTTCAAAAACTAGGATTTTACAGAAGTAATAGGCTCACAAGAGTGCATGTGCTGAGCTTGAAGTTCAGTAGCTGGGTACATCAGTGTACTTGGTACTTTAAAATTTGTGGGTGTACATGCATGCTTTTCTGCCTTCTGGGTGCCAGCTATGTTTCAGGTGAAGTTCTAATTAATTTAGGATAGAATGGTGCTGTGCTGATTTGACCACACCCCTTCCACCCTAAAGAAATTTTGCACCTCTTTTTAGGGTAGTTGGAGTGGAATGTAAGAAAATAAGTGGAAAGACAGGTGTGACCATCATCAGACTGTGTGTATGTTTTACTAGGAATGCAGTGCTGCCCTGCTGCTGATTCATCCTCTGTCAATTCCATTATAAATATGAAAAGTTTTCCAAGCCAGTAACATAACAAAGTAACCTGCTTCCACAGAAACTTCTATATTATATAATTTTACAACTTGAAGCAATGCACATGTCCCATTTTATGTCTCACTAATTTTGTAGCATCACAGCATCCTTAGACAGGTAAAGGCCTCTAAAGCCTTGCTCAGCTCTGATCAGTGCTGTCTGACCTCTCTTTGTTGTTGTGTTAGGTTTTTGTTTGTCCTTCCTGAAAAATAAAAATCTTTGCACTTGGTTCACCAAGTCAATGGCTTCAGCAACTCAGAGCACTAGTTAGGGGAGAGTTTGTGTTACGCTGAACTTGTGGGTGTTTGTGATAAGCAGTCTGCACTCATGAACAGTTTAGTGAAAGACTGTGTTGATGCTGCCTCTACTGGTGTGCCTACTGTTCGAACAAAAAACAAGTCTCCTGACTTGTTAGCAGTGCTCAGAGTAGTAGATAATCCCTGTCTTAATTTTTCTTAATTGGAGACAAAGGTCTGTCGTGTTCAAAGAGGCAAAAGTTTGCCTTGATGAAATCCTCTGAATGTGAGAACCCTTGAGCAGCTGCTGTTTGTGGTATGTATCAGGAAATGTGACTTCCGCGAGGTGTTAGAGCTTCCCATGTCAGTTCTCCCTTTCCCTTTGCAGGTGCTAATGGGCAGAGTGCCTGACAGAGGAGGAAGGCCCAACGAAATTGAACCGCCGCCTCCTGAGATGCCACCGTGGCAGAAAAGACCAGAGGCTGGTCCGCAACAGGGCGGCGGCAGAGGAGGAAGGGGAGGCTACGAATCCTCCTATGGTGGGCGAGGAGGTTATGACCATGGGGGTCACGACCGAGGAGGAAGAGGAGGCTATGACTCATCATATGGAGGGCGAGGAGGTCACGAACGAGGAGGTCATGAACAAGGAAGCCATGATCGAGGGGGACGAGGAGGACGTGGTAGTTACGATCACGGTGGCAGAGGAGGCGGCAGAGGAAACAAGCTTCAAGGAGGTTGGACAGATGGTGGAGGTGGTGGCTACCAGGATGGTGGCTACAGGGAGAGCAACTACAGAGATGCAGGTTTTCAGACGGGTGGCTACCACGGTGGTGGCGGTGGTGGCTACCAAGGAGGAGGCTATGGTGGCTACCAGTCGTCGTCCTATTCAGGAAGTGGCTACCAAGGGGGTGGTGGTGGTGGCTACCAGCAAGACAACAGATACCAAGATGGTGGGTCCCACAGTGACCGAGGGGGTGGGCGTGGAGGAGGGAGAGGTGGCCGTGGTGGTCGTGGGCGTGGAGGACAAGGAGGAGGCTGGGGGGGCAGAGGGGGGCAGAACTTTAATCAAGGGGGGCAGTTTGAGCAGCACTTCCAGCATGGAGGTTATCAGTATAATCAGTCTGGCTTTGGACAAGGAAGACACTTCACGAGGTCTCCGTCCTATTCAGGAAGTGGCTACCAAGGGGGTGGTGGTGGTGGCTACCAGCAAGACAACAGATACCAAGATGGTGGGTCCCACAGTGACCGAGGGGGTGGGCGTGGAGGAGGGAGAGGTGGCCGTGGTGGTCGTGGGCGTGGAGGACAAGGAGGAGGCTGGGGGGGCAGAGGGGGGCAGAACTTTAATCAAGGGGGGCAGTTTGAGCAGCACTTCCAGCATGGAGGTTATCAGTATAATCAGTCTGGCTTTGGACAAGGAAGACACTTCACGAGCTGAGGCTGCTAAAAACTTGCTTCAGCAGAGCTCATGTAATAGAAATCTGGTTTCAGAGGCCTGGCTTAATCTCTGCTTGATTTAGTACCAGTTTGTACATGGCAGGTAGAATCTCTTTGGGTGGGATCTTTTGCCTTGAGCAAAGTACAGCTTCCCGTAGACTTCTCCCTGTCACCTCCACCCCCCACCTGTCTGAATTAAATGCCTCATCACTACCCACTGCATTCTAAACATCAACTAATAACCATGCTATTTAGATGTTGGACTGGTTTCCTCTGCTGAAAACACTGTAGTTCTGAAGATACCTGCTGTGTTTGCCTTAGAGAACTATCAAGACCTGTCTGGTCAAATTTGTCTCTTACAGTACACAATAGAACTTCTGCATTTTTCCCCCTAATCGTTGTCCAATTACATGTTCTAAAACCAATTCTGAGTGTTCTTTTTTGGCTTGCTGGCCTCCCATTTTAGTCACAAAGATATTGCACACAGGTGTTCACACGCACAGTGAACTCCCTCTGACAAACAGGTTTTTTGTCTGTTATATGAGCTCTAATGTGGATGCCGTGTTGGTAGCCTTATCTCTTGCTAAACAAAGTTTTCCCACCTGCTCAAATCTGAAGACTTGACTGCCACCAAAATCTGCAAAGATCATTTAAAACTAAGCTAAATTGTGACCCGATAGTGTATGTAGGCCTGTAGTTAGGTGTAGCAATTCAAACTGACTTGCATCCATCCGAAACAAGTTGCTCCTCCTCCAAACCTATTTTTTGCTTGAAACCCGCTAGAAGAAATGACAAACTGAAATATATTTTATTTGCAAGTTAATACCACTGGCTCAGCAAATCTAGGGCAATTTGTTTTGGGGGTTGTCTTTTTAAAGAAATGCACTACAGCCTGGGAAAATTAGTTCCTGCCTGGAGGAAGCCCTTTTATTATTGCTGCAGAAAACAAAGCCTGGCTGAGTTTGATGTTCTGATTTATTTTTTTTTTCTTTACTGAAAGTTACATAATGCTTCTTGCTGGGTTTTTTGTGTGTACATAAACATTGTCAAGCTGTGAAAGAAAATGGCTGAAGGTGTGCTGTTGTATAAAAGGTGAGCAATAAAAGTTACCTGTATGTTCCTTTTGCTTTAGGGTTGTTTTGTTTGGGGTTTTTTTCTTGTTAGTAAAAAGCAGTTGATGAAGTAGCTGGAAATTTGTGGAGATTTTTGTCTGCCTTATCTATTTTACATTTTTGTCTATTTTAGATATTGTAGTTGTCACAGCCATACTGTGCATTCTTCTTGCTGAGAAGCTGTTAGAACAGGAGCAGATGGGAGGAAGTGGTCATAGATTTCATGGCATCATTAGGATGGTTTGGGTTGGAGGGGACCTTAAAGATTGTCTAGTTCCTACCCCCCTGCATGGGCAGGGATACCTCCCAGTAGACCAGGTTGCTCAGGACCCCATCCAGCCTGACCTTGAACACTTCCAGGGATGGGGCTTCCACAATTTCCCTGGGCAACTTGTACCAGTCTCTTGCCACCCTCACACTAAAGAATTTCCTCCTAACATCTAACGTATCTTCAGTTGCTCTGAGCTTTGTTCTGTTTCTCCCTATGAACTGGTGTAGCAGCACTGTCTCTCCTGGGCATCACTGTATGAAGTTATTTTTAGTTGTGTGAGCACCTGTCTCCCAGGTTATGCTCCTGTATGCCATGTGAACATGGGCTGCTGCTTCTGGGAATTCTCCTGACCCTGTCCTGCTTTGTGGAAGGTGTGTTCCTTGCTGCTGTGCTCAGTTCTCTGTAGCAGAGGCCATGCTGGTGGCAAGATAATCTGGCTACTTGAAGTGCCCTTGGAGCCGATGCAGACAGGAGGAGTTTCTTGGAATACAGAAATAAAACGAGTGTTTGGGAGAATCTATGTAACGCTGGCGTTGCTGTAATTCAAGCTAATCACATAAATAAGCTGATGAACATTGTTTAGAATTGACTTCCCTGTGTTCCCTTCCATGATAAGCCTGAAGATATGTTTAATTTATTGCGGCCACTAGGTGCTGCTGGTGACTCGCAGGTTGGAAGTGAAGGACTTCATGAAAGGCACTTGGAAATTTGACTTGACATCTCTTCTAACTTTTTTCATGTTTCAAACCAATTTAACAAGCCTCACGAGGGAGAAGTTTTCCATATTGAATACAGGTCTCTGAGGGTCACCAATATAGATCTATCTCAGCATAATACAGTTCAGATGATGAGCATCTAAAAATGAATGTTGCTGCTTCTCAAAGGTATTGATGGTTTCTTACGTGGGATGCTCCAGAGAAGATATTTCCCTTGTGGGAGAGTTATACCTTGTCATGAGCATTAGCTGGTGAATAGCTGCATTCACGCTAAAGTAATTAGTGGGGCTTTTAAGAATTAAGATTCCTACAGCTTAGTCAGTCCTAGACTGCTAAAGGTAGGGTGACTAACAGTTAAAAAGCCTTTTTGCTTGACTGTAATATCTTCAATTTGACAGCTTTTGCCTTTTTTCCACACTGCTCCTCACTGTAAAGAGTCTGGTGTTTTCTGTCAGTGCATTAGAGGGCTGCAAGCTTGTTTCCAGCAAGAGGGAACCCAGGAAGCTTTTTGGAAAGCCTCAGGTTGAGTTGCAGCAGCACCATCAGAGACTTTGTTCTGCACTAGTGCTGCTCATCTCTCTGCAAGGCTACAAGTGTTGCTGCAGTGGATAGATAGTCTCACTTCTGCACACTGTGACATGGTGAAATGATGCTGGAGTAGGGTAGGAGCACAAGGCTTCTCCTTCCCCCCCTTATTCCAGCTAGCTTTTTCTCCTAAAAATATGTTGCTTCCCCTCCTCCCTCTCCTCTGACTTTGGGTAAGATGAGTCCCACTTCATTGCTGGTTGAGGAGGAAAGTGTTTTTTTTCTTAAAACAAAAATAGATATATCAGAAGGTGGCAAAACAGGAGGCTTTACTCTTCTAACAGGAAAGAAAACTTTGCTCCTGCCAGCTGTTGTTGTTTTTCTTTATTGTTTCCTCTGAGTGCACTGTGACTTCTTTGTTCTCCAGAGAAAACAAGCTTTGTATATGTGAAGAGAGCAGCTTTGATTAATGAAAGCAACAGCCACTGCTTTGTTTTTGTCTGTATGATGCTCTGATATTTACAGTTTTCCAAACATTATTCCTGTTGCACTGGAAAGAATCTCTTAACTGGAAACTGGGAGAGATGTGTTGTGGAGATTTTTAGGCTTGTGATGGATTGGATATATGTGCTCAGTTTCATTGTGTATCATGATGGGAAGCAGAATTCCAGCAGATTCAGAATGCAATTAAGCAAGCAAGCATTTGTACAGGAGAACAAAGTGTTCTTCCTTGTAACCACTCTTGCTTTTCCTACTCTTCTTCCACAAGCTTTAGGCATCTTGTTATGTTTTCCCATCTGCCTTTCTTTTCTTTAGCAACTTCTATTTCCTAGAGGCTTCACTTTCATTGCCCTCCCATTCCATTTATTAGGCAACCCTCTCTTGAGTGTGGCCATTGTGCAGTAAAATAACTATGGGGAGTGGGACACACACTTCTTTCCCACATCAAACACAATAGTACCTGACTTAGAATACCATGATCTGTATCATGATCACAGCTGAATTTTTCTTGCAGGTCTAAGAAATGGATAGGAATGTATTCCTTACTGTGTGCAAAACCATAGCACAACAAGGGAAAGGGCATCACTTGGCCCAGGAAGCCTTTCCGATGTAGCTTTTCCCTGACTGGTTTATCAGCCTTAGGATTGGTGTTGGCTGATAATCCCTAGTTTGCTTAATGAGATTCCTCCACTTCTCTAGTCAGACCCCTCAAGCGTGTGTCTCAAGGTGATGTGTGATGTTCCATTACAGCTGATGTCCTCCAGAGGGGCTCCTCTAGCTATGGATTAGACTTCTCAGTCAGAGCATGTGGGTAACCTGCTGTAATGTGATGAGGACTTGGACTATATGTGTCTCCATTAAAGTGCTATTTGCATCTGAATTAATTAAAGTAGCAAGTGCCTTGACCAACCTGTGGCCTAGTTACAAACTCAACACTTAGCAGTCAAATAACTAAGATAGAACTAGGAAGAAACGAGAAGCAAGATTCGTGTTAGTAGACAATTGTGAGAAGTGGCTGGAGCTTGAAAAGTCCTGTGGTTTAGAAGTATTCCCCTTAATGGGTTATGCACCTGGGAAATGAAAATTGAACTGTGCTAAGTGGAAGAGTTAAGTGGAGAACACTAGGAGTTAATTCAGCTCCCTGTTAGATTAATGAAAGCCAACACACAAAAAGCCCTTAACTGTCTGTTCATCACACATGATTTATTCTTAATTCTGTCATAATTAGGATGGCAGTAGAGAGTCTCAGTGTTGCGCTGAAGAATGTCATCCTTGTGATGCTGCTTCCTCTCCGAATTTTTCTGGGTTTCCTCAGGCAACAGGGATGCTACAGGAGCATGTATGTGTTTTTAAGCTGTTGGGCATGATTAAGCAGTCACAAAACAAGTTGGCTCATGCTAAACTGCAAGCTTGCTTTATCGGCCTCCTGGCACACCCTTAGGTTACCAGCGTTGTAATTGGAGAGCAGTACACAGGGGTGGATGTGAACTTCTTTTTCCCCTGTGTTGGCTTTCAAAATACTCAAGTGCTTGTTTGCTTCAGGTTATGCCTTTCCAAAGGGATGCAGACTGAAAAAGCAAGTGCTATTACCAGCTGTAAACATTGCCTTTTCCCCTCCTTGGCTGAAAATAAGTTGCACCTCTAATGGCTTAACAAACAAGGCTGGAAGGGAAAAATATTTTTCTCTTGTGTTTACCTTGTGCTTTTTACAGCACTGAGGGCTGTCAGTGTCATTGTTTCCCCTTTATTGTCCAGTAATTTCCCCTCTTGTCCACGTGGGTCTTTCCCACAACAGAGGAGAGAAAAACAAGTACAAAAAGTAGGAAAACACTATTGTAAAACTAAAGAAAGAGGGAGTCTGCCTGTGCTGTGGGCAGGTGGAAGGTCATAACTCGTTTTCACACATGAAGCAGAGATGAAGGTGATAAGGACTCTTGAAGCTTTCCGGCATTGGCTGAACTCATGGAAAAAGCAGACTTTTTGGCTAAATTTCATACTGCACCAGTGGTAGCCTTTTGCTGATGGCTTTTCTGGGTCCTGGGACTATACTGTCAGCAGCTGTAAACAGTGCTTTAGATTTCAGCCCACGGATTTTCCAATTAGTTTAGCCTGTTGGCTGCAGTGCTTATTTTGCAAATCCAGTTCAGGTCGGTGCTGGTAACTCAAAAAATTGCTCCAAAGTTACATCTATTTCTCCAGTGTCCCTGGGTGGACCAGCTCTGTTAAGAGTCTCCTGAGGAGTACTTGGAGCAATTTTTTGTGCTGTACAGAGGCCCATCAGTTAGCAGGCTAATGCTGAATGAAGCGAACCTTGGTTAGATTTTTTTTGGCTGCGATGATCATGAAGCAAACCCTTGTTTCTCCTGTCTCTTATGTCTCCATGAAATCTGCATTCAGATCGCCTTCTCACCTTCCCACCTTCCTGCCCTGCTTGGTCTCTCCACTGGGATCCCCTTCCATTCTTTGTGTCACATAGAGAGGGAGAGCTCTCTTAACAGGTTTCTTCCCATGCTTACTCCCCATCTGCCTGTTATTTGGGGTTTTTTGGTGGTGTTTTGGTGTTTGTTTGTTTGTTTTTTCCCCTGGGTACAGGATACTTCACATGCAGCTGCTTCCCAGACAAAAGCCTAAAGCTTCTGTAACTGGTGTCCTAGGCTGCAAGGAGCTTCCTATGGCCCCAGCCTCAGCCAAAGGCCTCCGGGCTCCCCATGAGGAAGATGCTGGGGGCTGCTTTCACTTCAGCTTCCACAGAGGAATCCCTGAGCAACAGTCCGCAGAGGTGACAGCAGCTGGTCCACTCCCTTTTTGGAAAATGTAAAATTTTAGGCAGCAGCTGCCCTTAAACTTGCTTTTTATCTTCTTTTGTATTGGAAGAAAAAGGGCTTACATTTCACAGCTGTAGAAAATCCATGCTTCAGGCTAGCTCTGGTCAGGAAGCATGTTGCTGTCATCTGTTGCCCCCACCTTCCCTCCCTCAGACTTCACCTGCGTCAGAGAAAGGCACCTTTGAGAATATAGGTTGGGTCTAGTAAAATACTGCTTTGTAGAGCTCAGATTATTAATTTAAAGCCCAAAAGACTGAATGGGCAGAGGAAGGCAAAAAGACTGCGAGGAAATCTAGAGCAGAAGATAGACCTGCAGTAGAAACCTGGCTTTGCATTTCACTCTGAAGGAGCCAAATGTCCCCTTGACTCCTTGCATAGCACTCAGGGCTACTAGGTAAAGTGATGACAAGGCTGAAGCTCCTTTATTTGCAGCAGGAGGTTTTGCACAAGCACAGAAAGTCCCAGTAAGTTTCTCTCAAGCAGCCAAATTATCTCTTACAGGGTCTATGCAAGCACTTGCATTTTTCACCTACTCTTGCTGCTTGTATTCTTTGGCATTTGTAGAAAAGGCTGAAAAGGCTTGGCATAAACCTTCCTTCTTTCCACTGCGTGCTGGTAGTGGGATTGGTGTTTTGTTTGTTTTAAAAGATCCTCAGAACTGAGAAAGGGATGAACGGATGTGGTAGAATATCCATCGTAATCTGGGATTGTATCTCACTTTAGCTACTTAATGACTGCAGTGCTGTTGTCATTGTGACACTTTCTCCTGGACACTCCTGGAATTGCTCTCTATTTCTAGCAGACAGGATTTCACTAAGACCCGCACATAGCTCAGTCAGGAACTGTGATGGCTGGTATGTTTTGCCTGTTGTTAGGTCAGAGGAAGTGCACAAGAAATTATTTGTAGATTTGCCCAGGTGGGGGAATGAAAATTGTCTTGCCCCTGTTCAGAAAAAGATGTCAACCTGAAGTAAGGTGAGAAAAAGAATTTTTAATTTCATCTATTCAGGCTTCTTCCAAGGTAAAGAGCTTGTCTTATACCAACTTAAAATGGTTGCCCACGTGGAAGTCAAAGTTCAGTATTCTGCTGCAAACAGCCTATTTAATCTTTCCTTTTATAAAAAGTTACCATATTTTATTTTTTTAAATTTTTTTTTTTGAGGATGGAGGAAGTGTGAAAAAAGGCTGGTTTTCTACCCAGTGTCTTTTTCTCAAGCTTTCTGATGGCCATGAACTCTCCCCTGCCAGCACTACACTCTCAAGAGTTCCTCTTCTTGAAATGCTTAAGGCAAAGGGTTTGCAGCTGGAGCTTGAAATTTTCACCTGAGTTCTTCTCCTTGTACTCTGTAATATCTTACTTAGAAGGATTAGTTGTGTGAGCCTGTGATCTATGCTTGATCTGCAGCTGCTGCTGAGGTAAGTACCCCACTGACCGAAGCTGCCAGGCTTTCTAGAGCTGCACTGATGACATTTCTAAAGCAGGTTGAAACGTCAGCAGTTTGCTAGTAGAATGGTCCCTCAGAAAGTGGGAGCTGATTCTGCAGAAGACATCCCTAAATGCGAGTCTATGCCTTGATGACAGTATACATGGGGAAAAAAAAGTGTCCTTGAAAAGGCCTTCCTGTGAAGAACTTGGAGTCCTACCCTTTTAACTGGTTTAGGCAAGAAGCTTGGAAGAATCTAGGGGAGTAGGTAAGTGAGAAGATAAGATCACATATGAGAAACATTCTTGTCCAACTATAAAATGAAGATGGATACAGTTTGTGGGCCTGATAGAAAATGAAAGCAGGTACGACGAGCAAGCAAAGGCCTGCAAGACATAGGCCAAGGTCAAGACTCTTAGGTGATGTTAAGAATGAAGTTGCACATGAACATTTCATTTACCAGGTGTATCTCAACAGGTCCATCAGCAGCCTTGATCATAACCAAATGTCCCTATTCAAATTCTCCACCACATAATTTTCATTGTGTGCAGCCCATGTGCTGTAACGGTAGCTGTGCAGCCAGCCTGTGGGGACCTGCCACCTGACCTACCCTAGGAAATAAATGCCACCTTTTAGTTAATGCCTGTTTTTTTGCCCACAGCAGTAAGAGTGAAGGATGCTTCTGGCCCTCATCCTAGCTTGGAATTCAGTGCTCCTTTCAGTGCTTATTTCTTCATGTTTTAAGCAGTAAAAACATGTTTGTTTGTTTTTTTTTCCTCTCCCCAGCTTTACCATCATTACTAGTCATGTTGGAAAATAAAGGAAACCTGCAGGATTCAAGACTCAAGCCTGAGCACGCACCACGTAGTCACAGTGCAGGTTACAGCCAAATCACTGCAGAGGAGTGCAGCTGTCAGTTTTGGTTAGAGAAGTCTATGGAAGTACTCGCTGCTCTTGGGGGCTTGTAACTTGGTAAAGGGTGCAATAACTTCATTTTTTGTAGGAAATCTTATTATCAGGTTGCTTTAATTCAGAGTATGTGCTCCCCATGCACACCTACTTTTGTGGGGAAATGGAGTAAGACAAATAATACATGTATGCCAGTTTGGAAGGCACACTTCAGGCTTGAACTTTGAGCTGTTTTTTTTTCTCTCTTTTTCCAGATGAGGGCTGTGCTTCTTAAGTAACTTAATGCTTCTGAGAAATGCCACTTCAGACCTCTTTCTCAGTCCATTACAGATTCAGGTGCTAATCTGGAGGTTCCTTTCCAGTACATTTAGTCCTAACATGTGCAGACTGCTAACCAGAGGAAAACATATCACATACACATACATACACACACTTAAAACTAAGGTGTTTATTACATGCTAATTTTACCATAATCAGCACTGGCAGAGAGGACCCCTCTCCATTGTGGTGTAACCAGACATATGCATAGTGTCTTGGAATTCCTTCAGTCTCAGCCATTTGCTGCCTATTTGAAGGATCCCTCCTGGGAGCTGAAATCACTGTGCTGAACACCGACAGGGTCACTGTAGCAATGTAAACACGGCCAAAATTCAAAAGCCCAGATGTGCAAAGAATTTCAGCATACAGGACTTCGTGAAAGGTTTTTTTGTTTGATATTTAATCAACATACACACCTACTTCTTTCCTTAAAAAGATCATGACGAGTCTCTGCAAAAGGAGTGTTATTGAGCAAACGTAGATGCTTGGCTTCTGTCCTTGCCATTGTTGTTGCTGGCACACGTACTGAAATGATGCCGTATATTTAAAGGAGGCCAAAGATATCCTCATCAGCATGTAGAGGAAGTTTCCACAGAAGTCATGCAAGAGAAAACACTGAGTGCAGAGATCTGTTCTGCTGTGTCCGTGCAGTGTTCATCCAAATGGCTTACTCGTGAGAAAATAAATAGTGCTTTATAACACTTTTTTCACCTAAGAAAACAAGGCAATGGTTGAATTCAGAAGGACGAGGTACAGGAAAACTTCTCGTGGCCAAATGTGGTCTGTGACAGTCCATCAATGCTTGCTGTATTATAGTTGTCATCTTCACTTTTCTGTGCTTCAGGGGGAGAGATCAGCTATCCTGTAACCAAAAGAAAACAGACACTTACAATCTAGCAAAGATGGTCAATAAAAGTATGAGGCTTTGGAAATACAAACTTTATGGGTGACAGCAGCAGCAATCAGGTCAGTATCCTGCCCTAGCCTTGACTTGTCTATTTATCAGAATGCTCATTCTTGTGACTGTAACTTGGAGTCCTGAGCTGTGCATTACAAGGCTATAACAGCACAGAATTTGGTCAGATATCCACTTTTCATGATGTTCAAAAAGGAAAGTGCTCAACTCCTAAAGGCACATATTGACACCAAGAGCCAAAGCCCCAGTTGCAGTGTTACAGTAAATGCAAACTGCCGCATAGGACATAAGGTTTCTTTGAATGATTTGGCATTCTTCTGAAAGTAACTCCTGTGCAAGAAGCAAGGGCAAATTTGAATGAGGAAGTGTTCTGAAATTAATAAAATATGAGACCTGAGCCTCTAGCAGATTTTAAGCTACCTTGGTTTCTCCTGCAACACACCTCAGATTCTTGTCTTTCTGGGAGTGTTTCTATTCCATTGTGATCCTCTGTGTGTTGTGAGGCCTCAGCTTCCAGCTCTAGATCAGCCTGCACATTGGGCTTCTCATTCTCCCATTTTGCAAAGCCTTTATTCTTCCCAGCTTTGCCATGGAACTTGGACTTCATTTTGGGGAAAGTATGGGAACCTGAGTCGTTCCAGCCTGGCTCATGCCACAGTGGTTCTGTCTGTGTGGCTTGGCTGGTGGTTGCCCTCTGCAGCCGCACTGAGATTTTCCTTGAGGAGCCGGTGACGAGGGTGATGGCTCTGCCATCGAGGTCCTGGTGTTCTGCAGCAACACTGGGGAATTCAAATACTTCATCTTGGACTGAAAAAGAGGGTGGAAATGTTTATTTTTGCATCTTCTACTTCAAGACCTTTACAAAAGGATAACTTAAGCCTGGGGTGGTATGGGGGGGAGTTAACCCCCTATATGAAGCAGTGATATCACTAGCAATACTCACATGCTGCTTGGAAACCAATTCTGGCCTCTTGTGCACACCTTTCCTTTTCCCTCCATCCCCTCCATGCTCAGGGGACAAGGCAGAGCCAGCATTGTGCCCTATGTCACCTAGCCCCTGGCCCTAAGTGGCTTAAAAGAAGTACAGTTTCCCTAATGAGAATTTTATTTCTTTTCAGCTGGGATAGGGGTGTTGGTACAGAGGATAGGGAGCCTCAGGCAGGTGACTAAGGCCGTCACTGCAGAAAGGGATGTTGTAATTCAACCACTGACCACAAGACACTGTGCGCTGGAAAGTACATCTGCTGCTCTGTGCTTTGATACAAAGGAAAAATTAAAAAATGGCAGCAAGGACACTGGCAATTACAGAGAATTCCAGAATTTTCTTTTAAAATAGGAACAAAAGTGCTCTTACCTGGAGGCAGACATGGACTGCTAGGCAGAGAGCCATGGTTGCTGCCTACTGAGGTTCCTCTGGAAAATTTCCTGCATGCCAGCACAAGCAGGTCTCTGCATTGCTTATGACAGTTGGCACCACAATCTGTAAAGAAAGGAATTGTCGAGTCACCAAATGGAAATTCACAGCTACCTGCTAATCCCTTAGGGCTATTAGCAGACAAGATATCATGAGGGACTTTGAAGGAACAAAAGCTTTGACAGAAGGTGTGAAGGGAATTACAGAAATGGATCATTTGCTGTGAAGGGCATGACAAAAAAATTGATCATTTCCGTGGCAGCCATTAATAGAAATCTGGCAGCCGACAGGAAGAGGGGGGATGATATTTTCATCAGAAACTAGTTTCAAGGAAGAGACCTGGAATTACTAATATGTTCCTGTGCATGCCATGTATAAAGCTTCTGCTCCCACTGTAAGAGGTTCCAAAAAAAGTTGTGTGGTTTGTTGTGTTGGGTTTTTTTTTTTGTTATTTGACCCAGCAGGGCCCGTTACAGTAAACACACTTGGTCCCTACTCTGAAGGACTCTGGAAGGACAGCTGGAGGTTAGTGTAGACCACTGTAGGTTAAAACTAGTGTAAGTAGCTCAGCAAGCAACATCAGCACTGAGTGAGCTCTGTGGAGGTGTCCCATCCACCTGTATAAAACTGGTAGAGTGCCTGCACACCAAGCCTCTGCTGACCTTTACATCTCACTGCAGGTAGACTCACCATCAGGTACATTCATCTGAAGTACTGACTGCAGCAAGAATCTTATCAGAAGACCTGAACAGATTAATTCCCTCCCTCCCCCTGCTAGCACAGTGTCAGAGGTTCAAAACAGAAGATGATGGCTCTGTCAGGGGCAGGACTCATCCATAATGGGTGCAGCACACTAGTGATGCTGGCATATGGAGCAGCTGGTGCAACAAAGGGCAGGCACTAATTGCACTTGTTGACCATTTTAAGATCTGAGCAAGCAGCTCTGCTCCTTTACTCTCATGGTCCATTGCCTATCGTTTTGACTCTGAAGAACCATTTTGGCTCTCTCCCCACTGGGACACTGTTACAAGCAATGATGCAGGACAGAGCTCAGCTTTCAGATCTCAAATTGAGTTTACAGGGCTGCTGTGATGAAACCTTATCTCCCTTCCCCCGTCATACCAGTAAAAGTATAGACCCCAACTAGCCCTTTCATAGCTGCTCAGATGACAATAATGAGGAATAGCTGAATTACACACATTGATTTAGGCAACTACAACTGCAAAAATCAACAATCCCCTTCAGCTGGGCTGCTTGTGACATAGAAAGGCCCAGCATTTTAAAGACAGTGAGGACCACTACAATGTCATTCTTGGCCTGACCTGCTCTATCTGGTGCAAATACTGTGTAAGAAAAGGAATATTTATGAAAACAACAGAGAAGGCTGTAAAAGCTCCAGGATTTTATTTTTAGTTGCATGTCTGCAGAAGATGTTGCAATATAATCTGCTGGGCAGTCTAGGAATTAAGTGTTTCTCTATTTCTAGCTCAGCCACGATTAGGCTTCACTACAGGCATGCAAATGAACAGGACAGACGGAACTGCCAGCAAACCTTTTCCTGACCCCAAGTCTTAGGAGATACATTTCAGGATGTCTCGGTGTTAGGACAAGGAAACTTGTTTTTCCAAGATGCAAAGTCTTTCCTGGTAGAAACTGACACCTCATGGAGTCAGTGGCTGCTTTGGACCTTTAGCTCACAAAACCTGTGTGTCCAGCTGGGTGCTGTGTCCCCTAGTGCAGTCAGACTTCATAGCATACCACCAGTTCACAGACAGTACGAAGTGCATAAGCAAAATTTGGACAAACAGGTGTCACTCTAGTAAAAAAATACAGTTGACCTACTTGTTCTAAAACCCACCACCTATAGCTTGAAAAACCCATGCAATATTTATTTACCTTTGCATTTGTAGCCTTGTTTGATTATACCCCAGAGCTGCAAAGAAAGACAAAAGAACATCAAGGAATCAGAAAAGAAAGCTGGAAGGAAAACAAGGTCACAATGAGGAAGTACCAATGGCTACAAAAGCACAAACAGGATACCACTGCTCTTAACACCCTTCCTGTTAGGCAGAGTTCCCCCTCTAATTGTGATAAGACTTGTGTGGCTTCCCCCTGATTTTGACTTCTTACAGTGGGACCACGAGAAAAGGAGAGACATGGATGACATTTGTTCCCAGAAGTGGGTGAAAAATTGCCGTTATATCAAGCTTATTGAAACCAGCAGAGCACATTCTGCTTGTAGGCCCACTTAAAGTTATCTGCAAGAGTTTCCAGAGTACATCCATTCTCCAGATACCTGGATGGCCAACGTCAGTCAAACACTGCAGAAGAAAACACCACTGGAGATAAAAATTCAGTTCTTGTTTCCCATACTGGTTCTCAGTACACCCAGCCATAACAATCAGATTTGTTCACCTGACTTTTTCTGTTAAAAAATAGGTTGAAGATTGAAACAGACAGAAAAGCCCTAAACTCTATCTTTGCCTCCTCCCAGAAGTTGTCTGTGTTGATGTACATAACAACCAAATGCCAAACTTCCAGGAGACAGTGTGTGCGGTCCCACTTCTGGGAAACTTTCACTGCCACATGAGCAGGATTGCTTGGAAGTAGGAAAAATTTGTAGCAAATGGATATTTATACAACCAGAAGTGCTATGTCTACAGCCGTGGCATTAGGAAAACAAGCATGTTCACTATAAGAGGCAGAGAGAGAGGAAGAGGCAGTTTTTCTAGCCTTAGCATTATAGGAAAGGGATCAGGCACTGCAGTGTTTACTTATCCTGACTTCATTCAAAACATTACCAGGGAGGATGAGCACATCCAGGCAGCTGGAAATGCACGAGGCTCCTCATCATATTATAAGAACCTGCACAGTGTGCAGAGGGTGAATATGGTCAGTAAAGAAATGTTCAAACGGAAGAGCTGCAGTACATTCAAAATACGAAAGAGAGAGTAAAATAATCAGAATAGTAAGATTCTGGGGGGAAAAGAAAAATCTCATGCTCTGCAAAAAAAGAATTTACAAGGAAAAATGAGGGCTTGGAGAATGCAAAATTGATTAGACAAGGAGGAAGAAAGGTGAATTAAAGAACAAAAGGGACAACAGTCAAAGAAGGGTCCCCTGAATGCCTATTGCTTGCTTTTTTCCTGCTCATGCTGACTATATGCACAGTGAATACAGTCACGGTGGACAGGCAGGGACATTGGAGCCTCCCAGCCCCCTTTTGGAAGAGCAGCAGCATTAGGAAGAGCTGGGCTGTTACTGTTCAGCTTTTCATTATTTTTTCCAGCTTGCTTTGCCAGGGTCACCGTAAGAGACAGGGACTGTAGTTTCTTTAATTGCAGCTCTAGTTTATTCCCACAGAAGAGTTTTCTCCTCATCACCTTCTTAGGTCTGTACCTTTTGCCTACTCAACTTCAGCATCACTGCTGTGGTTACACAGAGCAGTGAAGCTCAGCTGTACTATCATGTCATGAATTCTGACATAAAGCTTTGCATCCCTCTGACAGTGCTGCTGCAAAGTTGGCTTCAGCCAGCTCCAAGGTAAGAGGATATGTGCAAATTTGTATTACAAAACCCGTCAGGATGGCTGGTCACCTACCCTGCATGGTGCAACTCAAGCTGTGGGACGGAACTGTGGCCGGCACAGGCAGATCCATTTCACACTGATTAATGGAATTAGGTTTCAGCTTGACCTTTAAAGTTCATATTATTTTAATAATAGATATTTTATTGGATATTGTGTGCATTGAACTGTCATGTCAATTCATCCTGCTGCACTCTCAGTGCGTATTATTTTGACCGTGAATCAGTGTATCCGTTTGAAATTAGGTTTTCACCCTTGGATGGGCAGCACTGACGTGCAGAACAAATAGGCAGCAGATTTTGTAGCTGGTTCCTGTCCTGTCGGCCCAACTCATCCACAGGACAAAGTCAATGACTTCAGTGAGTTGACAGGAAAAATGCCCTTATTTCCATTTCCTGTACAACCCCTTACTCATTTACATTCCTGCACTGGATGTAATCAGGGAGATGTGAAAAATCTAACAATGGCCAATTAGTAAGTTGATGCAGAAGAAAAATATCTGGTGGAGAGGACATTGCAGGGCAGTCCTCAGACCTTGCTTCACTACAGAAGCCTTCCAGACATGAACCCAGTGTCATGAGCACAGTGACATCTCATCACAGCTGCAGGCAGCCTGAAACAATAGCCTCAGGCCAGTGACTTCCCCTGCCCCATCAACCTGCTGGAGCTGTGGGCTCAAGAGCCCACCAGCATGCTCCTGAATCAGCACTGACTGTGCCACCTCTGGGGTTTTTGCAGTTCCAGTGGAAACAGGTGAAATTCCTGTTTCCCTGTGGCTTTGATCAGCAGTTGCCACAGGGAGCATGAGCATCTGACCAAGATCACGCATCGCACAAGAAGCGAGTGGAAGAGAGGAGATGGGCAAGAGCAGGAACACCAGGGCTGGTCTGAAGGGAGGCACGTCTCTGCACTTAGAGGTGCTGTGATTGTTACTTTCAATCACAAAGAAACATTAGTTAGTGGGAAAGTTCATGTAGTACAAGGTGGAGATGTTGCCAATAGCACAGGCAGATCTGCACTGACGAGCAGGGACCATCTTCTGGGTTTACACCCTGTATGTGGGCCACATGAAGGCAGAGGACATGGGCCTTTTTCCTTATCACTTAAGCTGTCTAAATGTGGACACTTGATTTCAGCAGGGTGTGCACACTAATACAACTTCTAAATAATTCTCTTTACTGTACTTGGTTTGAAGTGGAAGTTGGAGGAGGTCTACAAGCAACACATATGGTGATAAATCAAGTAATTCCCCAGCTGTGTAGAGATTCTTATTGTACAGAACTGCTGGGAGCACTTCTGATTTCTTGACCAAATTAGAATATCTGTTAATTCAACAGAGAAAGGATTAAGGCTGTTATGGCCATTCAGAGAATTATGAACATGACTGTGTTGCCATGTGCCATTTCCTGAGAAAGAACGGCTTTTGCTTCATCTACATCCTCTGTTCCAGACACCCATTTTCCCTTGACTTTGTTTACATGGGAAATCAAGCTAAATTAAAGAACTTAAGTTAAACCAAGTAAAGCCATTCATATAGTCTCTAATATCCTTTAGCTAACAGAATTTTATCCCACCCCCTCCAACAGTAAATGCCAGTATTCAGGAACCACTACAACAAAACTGGGTAGCAGAGCTGCAACATGAGTAAATGTTTTTTGCTTCTAAATGCAATGAAGTATTTGTCCAAGCAACTTCAGAAACACATGGAGCCATTTTCACCCTGTCTACATTAAAGGGTAAACAATTGTGCTTAAGATACACCATTATTAAAAACATACTTACAAATCCTGCACAGTGCTCACAGAAAGTTGGTTTAAGATAGGTCATCTCTTGAAAGTTATGAATGAAGCCTGGTCCCATTTTACACTGGAACTGTGATTTAGCTCTCAGAAAGTAAGCCATCATTTCTTCTTTGCTTATAAGACCATCTCTGTTAGGGGAAAAAGAAGTAGATCTGTCACTGCTCACAGCACTGAAGAATTCAAGATTTTCTCATTGCAAAAAGCAAGCAGCACACAAATCACATTCTTTGGAAGAGCTGCAGCAGTCCTGGCAGAAAAAAAACCCAAATACCGTGGAGGCTTTGTGGTTCTTATCATTCATTAAAAAGCAAACATTGAAATTATATCATGGACCTTGGTTTCTCAGCTCTTTGTGGTATCTCTCTGCTACACACACTCATTTTCCCATACACAACTCACTTGTTTCATCAGCCTGATGCCTGGCCCAGATACAGCATCTCCACTGAAATTTGGTGGCACTGTAGGGGTTTTGACTCAGTCCCA